TCTGGAACTTCTAAGAAGCATGCTTTGGCTTCTTTATCTCATTTGTAAAGCAGAGGCTTCTGGGTTCCTGGCAGGAAAACAAGAAAGTCACGTTCTGGCAGCTGACAGGCCAGCAGGGCTGAGCCCACAGGGGTCAGGCCTGGGCTCCACCCTGCAAGCGGCACGTGTCCGGATCCAGTGACCCTCTGTGTAGGCACATGACAAACAGGCCTCTCTAGCAGGACCTCAGAGCAGCACCACCAAAGCTCACCGCGTATGTGTCATCTTTTGTTGTTTTTTGAAAACTATCTCCACATAAGGGCAATTCTGTTGATTTGTTGATTTTCTGGGATTCCCCTCGCTCACTCGTGGCTTCTCTCCCAATAAGCTCATGTGGCAGAAACTACAGGAAGAACAAAGAGACCTCAGCCTGATGTGAACTGTGAGTCACTGACTTTATTGAGCACAGATGAACAGAAGTGAGGATTCCTCTGCAAGTGAAGGACTCCAGGTGCCAGCAGGAAGTGAGTGGAATTTCTGAGGAAATGTTTGGGGCAGAGGCAGAAGTTCAAAGGGAAATTATTTAGAGGTCAGCATAGATAGTCCAGCTGAAATGCTTCAGGTGGTGGAGAAATGAGGGTCCCTGAGACAGTGAAGCAAAGAAAAAGGTCAAGATGGCCCAGGAGTGAGCGTTTGCCCAGAATGGTCTCCTGCTGCTGGCCAGTGTGTGACCGAGTGTCCTCAGCGCTGGGAGAGAAGGTAGCAAGATGGGCTAGAGGGAGCTTGAGCGATGGCATCAGAGCTGAATTTGCTAAGTCAGCCTGCGCCTGCTAATCACGTGATGTGGCACCACCTACCTGTCCTAACTCTACATCCTTGTCCCCAAAATGGGACTGGCACTGCCCACCATCTAGGATTGTTAGGTGGCATTCGTGAAATGAAAAGTATGACTATTCTGACCGCAACACTGTAGATACACAAGAACTGTGATTCCCTCTCCAGACACCAGAAATTCCTTATTCCTGTTCTAAGCTTTGCCAGAGTCAACCGGGGGAAGCTCCCAGAGGAATCAGGGCCCCGGTCCAGCTTTCCTTCCCACAGGCCTGGCAGCTTCACTGGGCACGCTGCAGGCATCAGGGGATGCAGCTGCCTCTCCCACACGGGAAAGACCGAGCTGTGTCTGTGAGTCAGGCCTAGGCCTGCCTCCCAGGCAGCTGTCCCCTCTTCTGGGTTTCCAGATAATGTCCCTCCAGAGGGCACCTTAGGAGTCCTAAGGGCACACCAGGCTACTCGGTGACTCTGTGACCTTCCAGGATTTATTTTGAAAGTGAGGACAGGTCCTCCTAACCCATCCATGATATTTCGTCCCTGGGGCAACCAAAATTGCCCAGACTGCAGGATTCAAAAAACTTTCATAAGGCTTGAGTTAAAAAATCCAAAGGCAAGAACATTTGGCCCCACTCTTTTAAGAATAGTAAGGAGAATAACAACTGAGCTAAAAGCTGATCGAAGACCAGACACCCCCTCCCACTGTCATCCTTACTCATCTCCCTTTCTCGACATATGAGACACGACACATGAACAAGACATGTACATGTGCACACATCACTCTCACATCGCCCCTTGGGGGGAATCCTGAAATTGTTCAGCAATGTCTAGTTTCTTCTCTACAACAACTGTATGAAGTTCATGCACAGAGGACACTTTAGCAACTGTGCCTCACAACCCACCAGCCCCGATGACAAAGTATGTTTATTCTTCATTTATAAAAACACTAATCAGAAATAGTTAGAATCCTTCTATGCACTATAGACAAAAGTGAGTTGCAATTACACAAAAAATCCATCTAAAACTAATTCTAAATTTTTAAAAAAAAATTTAGCACATTGGTAGAGTCTTGGAACTGGGACAAATTAAGCAGAGAAGAGACACACAAACCATTTTTTAAAAGGATAGATTTGGTGGGCCTCCCCTGGTGGCGCAGCGGTTGAGCACTGGGCTGCGAAGCTGCCCGCAGCCTCTGCAGCACTGATTCAATCCCCGGCCACCAGCGAGGGTACCACATGGCGCAACAGACCTCTCCTGCAGTGCCCAATGCTCCCCTCAGCAGTGTATTTCATCACTCTGCCTGTTCTGTTCCCCGCTCTGGCTCTGGTGAATTCTCTCACCCTCCCGCGCTTCTGACTGTACCCAGTGCTTGTTTAAATAAATAAATAAATCTAAAAAAAAAAAATCACATGCCTACAATAAAAACGTTTAAAAAAAAAAGGGGATAGATTTGGCCATACCAAAATAAAAGGCTTCAAAGAGCAAAAGTTACTTTAATAAAAATAAAAAATATAGGTCACCATTAAAAAGATGATAACAAGATGATCAGTTGAGAAGAACTATTTTCAACACATATAATGGACAAGGAACACTCCCAAATTATTTACAAGAAGACAACCCACAAGAAAAAGTGGCAAAAAACATAAACCAGGATCCAAACAGTATTTACATAAAATAAAATAGGTGCTTCATCTCAATAGTACACAGAGAAATTAAAATTAACACAACAGTGACACTGCCTAGCCATTTTTTATACATTAAAAATTCAGAAGACAGATAATATCCAGCAGCATTATGGGGTGACTAATTCTATTGTGTAAACTTTTATAAAAGCAATCTAACAATATTTATTTAAATTAAAATGTGCACACACTCTGATCCAGGAATCCCATTTCCTGATATTTTTCTACCTGATTAAAACAACAGTGGGTAAGTTAGTTGCCTGTAATCATTGTCACAGCATTTCTTTGTGATTAAAAAAAGGAAAACATCCTATGAATCATTCAGAAGGTGTCTCACTAAACAGATAGTGCAACATGTACGCTGGGGCACCTGGTTTGAACCCAGATTGCCATTTTCCACAAGTGTGGCTCTGGGCATCTGTGCACTTTAATTTCCTCCACTAGAAAGTCAAGAAAATAATGGCACAGCAGATTCGTTTATATTAACTTGGAAGGTCTTTTACTTATGTTGTAAAAAAGACAAAAGCCATTTGCACAATTAAAGGTATTATTTTACAGTGTACGTAGGCTTATATTTACGTGTATATATTTGATTCCACAAAAGAAAAAGTGAAGTAATATTTGAAATTCTGAGCACATTTGCTGTCTTTGTAACTTGTCTCTAAAAAGAAGAAAAAAACATACGGGGAAAGAATGACAGGACACACGAACAAGTCATTAAAATACAAATGCAATTTTATTGGCTCATAATCAGAAGGAGAAAAAAAGGCAACTCGTTTCTGACCACCTCCTATTTCCTTTAGAATTGTTTTATTAAATCGAAAATGTACAACATCTTCTTTACACATGCACTTGAATTTTTTTAAAGGAAAAAACATCGTCTTATTAACACCATGATCCTGGCTAATAGCTTTTCAAAACTATTGAGGATAATCTTTAAAAAGGTTTTACATGTCCACTGAAATTTACAAATTTAACATAATCAAAGAAGGAATATTCCTACACACTTACAAAGACCACTAGAAAGAAACAATTGAAAAGCTAAAAAACTGTCTCAAAGCCATATTTTTTACAATCCTTCATTGTAGTCCTTCAAAAACCCATTTTTTTTTACAAAGTTACAATAACACGACAATACGGTCATGTTGTTTATTAAATAAACCAATCCATTTACAGAACAGGCCCTCTTCCTCTGCTCGCGTGTCTTCTCCCCTATCACTGCATATCCGTGCAAGACTGAGCAAAGAGTTTCCTCACCAGTGTTAGTTCCATAACCTGAAGCTGCTCTGTTCCCTCTTGGCTCGGCGCCCACCCTCCCCTAGCTACCCAGCAGAGCCCATGCTAACGGGAGGAAGCTCAGTTATCACCATGCCCCCCCTTTTGATGCCCCATGGTGTTCCATTTGCCCAAGCTGAGGGCACTACAGCCACCCCCAGATGAAGCATGAGAGGGGGTGTGTGCACGTGGGGTGATGGAAGCGAGGTAGGATGCAGATGATTTCTAATCCTCACCCTTTTCACTTATCTGTAGAGATAAAATAGTCGATGCTTTTTGACCAATTTCTTCATTTGAGAAATAGTGCAGGGATTCACTCCAAGCCTGGCACAGGGCACACCTGCCTGCCCCCCACCCCGCCCAACATCTGCTCCATGCCAGTCAATGGCGCTGATCTTCCTCCTTCCTGCCCATCTCCCTGGCATCCGGCCTGGCACTCCTGTCTTCCTGCCTTAAAAGAGGATGCTCTGGCAGCTCTCCTGCCTGCCTGTGTGCATGCAGGCGTCTCTTTCTTAAACCTACCACTTTCAGGGCCTGCTTGTGTCTGTGCAAGTGCCCTTCCCTCTTTTTAATAATAAACCTGCCCTTTTGGATATATATTTAAAAAAAAAAAAGAGGACACTGTGGTCTTAACACAGCCTGCTGGGGCCTGTGGACAACTGTGACACTAATTCTGTCTGCACTTAGTGACTTCTGGTCCCTGTACAAGTAAACACATATTTCAGACACTCACACACACACTCACACGCACACACACACACACACAAGCACATGCAGAGAGGCAAAATGAAACGGGCCCCTTCCTTGACACAAATCCTTCTAACCAAGAGTCCAGGGGCGGCCCCTACCCTGTAGGAAATACAGGGTAATTCGCAACAGAAAGAAACCTCCTCACACCAAAATGGCAAGAGAAGATTAATTACAACAATCCTGCATTATTAGGGGGAGAGATGTGTTTAATGTCACTGACCCTTAAAAATGTCTTAAACGTGCAGAAAAGGGCAAAGCAATCGGTCTCTATGCAAAGGGCGAGTCTCCTGAGATACGGTGGAAAAGCTGGAAGCACAAATACCTGCTTGCCTGGCAGTCCGTGTCCTGTGCTCCCAGCGGGGCCACGGGGATCCCTTGAGCTTTCCAGACACCACGTCCCCGGGCCTGGCACGTGGAAGAACCTCGGGCCGCGGTCCCAGGGGGCCTGGCCGGGCTGCGCCCCTGCAGAGGCAGGCCCGGCCCGGCTCAGGCGCTCTGGGCGCGCGGCTCGCGGCCGCTGTTGAGCAGGTCGGTGAGCTCCCTGATGTACTTGATGGTGTACTTCAGCGTCTGGATCTTGGTGAGCGGCTGGCCCCTCTGGCTGTAGACGGGCGGCAGGTAATTCCGGAGGGTGTGCAGGGCGTCCGCCAAGGTCCTCATGCGCAGCTTCTCCCTCTCGCTGGCCTTGCGTCTCCGCTGCACAGACATCCTGACTTTGCTGCCCTTCTGGGCCTTGGGGCCCGCGGCGCCCTGCAGGTAGGCGGGCTGGAAGGCCAGCATGCTGTAATCCACCTCCACCAGGCCCGCCGCCCCATGGTCGCTGCAGCCTGCACTGCCCCGGCTGCTGGCCCCTCCGTGCCCACAGGGCAGCCCGGGCACGAGGGGGCAGGGAGAGGACGAGTAGGACTCCAGCGATGGCGTGGGGGAGAGGCTCTGCGGCGGGGAGGCCTGGTTCAGCTCCAGGGACCCGGCCCCGGCTTTCCAGTCCCAGGAGGACAGCAGGCTGGCCTCGCCCGAGGAGCCCGGGCCGTCGCCCAGGCCCAGGAAGGGCTGGCCCAGGTTGTCCATGCCTGCAGGCGGCTGCAGAGAGGACTCCCGGGCAAGTGAGAAGCGGCTGCGCCTCCGGCCAGGACAGAGTCCTCTTTTATGGTGGTGGGGGACAAGTGATGAAGTGGGGAAAGGGCCGGGTGCAGGGAGTTCAAAGGAGAAACCAAGGCCCAAGATGGAAAATGAACTCCTCAGGTGTCACTTTCCCCTCATTGATAATTAGCATCTCCCAGCTAAAATGTCTTTAAACAGAAAGGCCTCCAGGAGAAGAAAAAAGGAATTATCTTGTTGTAACTAAACCAATTAAGGCCACATAACTAGACTTAGCATTGTCCTGTGGAACTCATTAATGTGGGAGCCAAAGAAAACAAACGGGGTGGGGGCGCGCCTCCCGCAGCCAGGAGGAGGCAGCCACCGTGGAGGCTGAGCACCCGGTGGGCCTCCACCCCCTCTGCCAGGACCTGCTGGGTCTAGCAAAGCAGATGGGCAGTGCTGTTAGAAGCAGCAGGGCCCAGGGACCGGGAAGCCCCTCCGAGCTGGGTGCTTGTGTGTGACGCAGGCCGCAGCTCTCACTTCACGGCTGGCGGGAGGCTGGCACAGGCAGGCATCCAGTGGATGCCAGCATCGTTTCCTTCCTCTTTAGCAAATCTCCTTGGGTTTTGTAGCAGGAAGATGTGCCCCTGAATGTCAAAAGCCAATAGCTCCAGTAAGCCTTCAGCCTTAATGAGCAGGAAGCATCCAGAAGCAAAAAGCCTTTACGTGAGCTGAGCAGATTGGGATTCCCATAGCAGACGCCAGGAAGCACAAGGCTCCTTTAAGGCAGGGAATACCTGCCTTGTCGCCTTCTGAAGGTCTTTTTAATCCAGCTGCAGAGTCACACCTTGTTTTTGAAATGTGTGGAGGAAGTGTGAAATCAACTAGGCAGCCTGCTTCCCCCACCACAGCTCCAAATGCCCCTGAATGTGTTAAGTTGGATGGTCCTGCTAGTTTGCCTCACTTCCTACGCGCCCTGAGAGATAGACTCTGTGTCTTGAAAAAGGGGGTCTCAGAGTCCCCATTTGTCCCATGAAACTAACTTACTCCCCCCTTGAAAGTAATTTCACGAATTAGTATTAACTTCAGAGTCACAATGAGTTACATCTCAGAGTAGTAGTACCTGTCCTTTAACATGATTTGTCTCTTGCCTTTACTGAAAAGAAATGTCAGTGGTCTAATTAGAACATTTATGGTATTTTTTAATTAGCTAGGCTCAGGGAAGAAGAGGCTGAAGCAGATAATCTGGAGAAAAATACTCTTAATTTTGCCATTTAATAAAGGACCCTAAGGAATATTTTAAAGGCTAATGTTAATAAGACATAACAAATGTAATCAATGATCAACCTCTTTCTCCCTTTTCTTTTTCTCATCCTTCAACTCTTTATAGAGAAGCTTGGAATCTGCCCATACACTATTCAAGGAACTTTACATTTATTATAATTAATATGCACTTTTAAAAAAAGAGATGAAAATACTGAGACTCTACAGAGTTAAGAAACTCAGTTAAAGCGTTCCCTGGTAGGAGGAGGTCAAGCCTCCAGAAGTAAATGGGCTCGCCGGGAGACTCCAGTGAATTTTTTTTTTTTTTAGGATTCATTTATTTATTCATAGAAGCACTGGGTACAGTCAGAAGTGCGGGAGGGTGAGAGGAGGCACCAGAGCCAGAGCGGGGAACAGAACAGGCAGAGTGACGAAATACACTGCGGAGGGGAGCAGCGGGTGGCAGGAGAGGCCTACAGGCCATGCGGGACCCTCGCCTGGCAGCCGGGAATCGAACCCATGCTGCAGAGGCTGCAGGAAGCTTCGCAGCCCATCGTTCAACCACTGTGCCACTGGGGAGGCCCTCCAGTGAAATTTTTTAAATCTGTTTTCTCTGTTTCAGCTGGTCATGGCAGAGGCAGGTGACATGAATGTGACTCAAAGGAAGGAGATTACCATTTGCTCCGAGGTGGCTATGGTGGCCATGTCCACAGGAGGCCACAGAAGGACACAGGAGGGCATAGGAGGACAGGGGAGGGCACAGGAGGCTGCAGGAAGACATAGGACACAGGAGCGCACATGAGGCCACGGGAGGGCACAGGAAGGCAGGGGAGGGCGTGGGAGGGCATAGGGAGGCCATGCAAGGACACTGGAGGCTTCCAGAGCACATATGCTGAGCATACAGTTTCCATGAAGTGCTGCCTCTGCTCTTGGGTTCTTTCACTCTTTCTATAGCTTCTTTTTAAAATTGTTCATGACTAGTATCTTGAGCATCATTTTCATAAATTTTTGTTGCTAAATCAGGCTATAACTTTCAAATCCTGGGTACAGTGTAGACACAATAAATATAGATTTTGTTACTGTCTTTTTTTTTTTTTTTAAAGAGATCCATTCATGCACACAAGAGCTGGGGTGCAGGCCAGAGGTGCAGGAGCAAGAGGATTCACCAGAGACAGAGCAGGGAGCAGAACAGGCAGACCTGAAATACACTGCTGAGGGGAGCAGTGGGGGAGACAGGAGAGGTCTGCTGTGCCACGTGGGTCACCTCCCTGGGATTGAACTCTCGCTGCAGTGGCTGCCCATAGCCTCACAGTGCTGAGGTCCAATACCTTGCGCCACCAGGGAGGTCCTGTTACCTTCTTTTCATGGTCATGCTCACCAGTATCAGACCCCGGTCACCCAGCACTACCAGCCCCCTGTTCTTAGAACAAAGACACTGCCCGCTCTCCAGGTCTGTCAGGATGCTGTGAGGAAAGCCAGACTGGCCTTACTCCCAGCTCAGAGATGATGGTCATGCACATACTAGTGAAGCTCTCTTAGCTTCAGCTTCTTTGTACAATTATAGTGCCAATGCCTCCTAGAAAACATGCTCTGACCAGGTGTACACACGGTGAGATTTGAGGATGGTAACTAACGTTGCTGTAAGTATTAAACTTACATAAGTTCTTGATTCTTTGGGTCAAAAGAAGTTAGAACCAGCATTTTCTTCAGCCTCAAGTCACTTCTGGTGAGAAATCAAAATCCTGCCCTCAAACCCCCAACCCCTGTCCTTTCAAATGAAAATGTTTTGCTGGCTGAACAAGTTTAGATACAGTTTCTTACCAAAAAGCAGTGGTTACCCAGGGCAGGGAATGGAAGCCTCAGGCAATGAAGGGAAGACAGCCTGGACATAATTTAAGAATAGTGAAAATGCTGGATAAAAGTTGGCTCATGTTTTACCATCATCATGCAGTGGCAATTCTAAATGATGACAAGGATGAAATGACAACTCCTAGGTGAACTAAGCCGCCACCCACCCTCCCATCCTTGATGGCTCCTGCCAAGAGAACCAGAGATATCACCTGGGAGTTGCAGCTGTGACCCAGGGCACCGAGTCGAGCGCCGCCCCTCCTTGACTCCGGACCAAGTGAGTCATTCAACCTTCATGGACCTCGTTTCCTCCTGTGACAGTAGGGTCGCGCTTGACAGCATGTTGCTAGGAAGCTGAGAAGATTTAAGACTGAGGCTTGACTTTGGGAAGGGTAAAGGCCTCTAGGCATATGCTATGATTTTTCCAAAATTAACAAAAATAACTATTACCACCTCTGAGATCATCTGCTCCAACCCCAGCCATGTTGCCATGCCACCTAACACCAAGCCACGCAGCATGGACCCTGGCGCCTTTAAAGCCTGCCGGGTGGGGAATAGCACTGTTGCCCGCCAGACCTGGAGAAGCACCAAGGAGGAGGGTCCTGTTCCCTGTGCTCTTCTGGAGCTGAGAACCATGAGGCTCATCAGACCATCCCTTCTTAGCTCCTTGTATCATTCTAAGACCTAATAAAATGATTGTCCATTACCTTCAAGGAACTTCAAACATAATTGGGTAAGTTAAATCAGATCTATGTGAACAGAATATCAGAACTTGTGACTGTAAATATTAGTGTCCAATGAATGGGGCCAGAGTGATTACAGCGGATCAGAGAAAGGCCCTGACAGCAAATCCTAGAAACACTTCTACATGGCTGAGGGGCGTGAACGGAAATCTAGAGAGTTCTCTATGGTCTTCACATGCTTACTTTTAAAATAGTGCACCTAAGGGATCTTCAAAGATTGTTCGTTTTAAAATGTAGCTTTTTGAGCAGATCAGCGTTTGGGGAAGAACTTTCGAAGCAGTGCTGGAAGTTAGCTATAGCACCGTGTGTGCAAGAAACTATAGGTAGTTCCATGTTCCCAGGGGCTGAGTGGAGGCTGGAGCCAGAAGGGAGAGGGAAGAGCCTTGTCAGTACTGATATGGCACTTGGGCTTTATCTTGATGACATGGGTAAGCTTTGAGCAGAGGCTGAATTTGGCCCACGGTGCACCCGAGCCCTCCTGCTGTCAAGTGCTTATGGGTGGGACATAACTCATTTCAAGGTGACATCAAGTATCATTCTAGGTGCTTAGCGTAGGTTAACTGGCTTCATCCTCCCAAGCCTCCCAGACAGGTCTACTTCCACCACCAACCTTGTTTTAGTAATAAGAAATCAAATCAGAGTGGGTTCATCCTGGGACTAGTGACCGGCAAGCGGCCTGGAGTCCCAGCTTGTAATCATGAGCTAAAATGATGGAGAACAGTTGGCAGCATCATCACGATGGCCCATGTCACGCTCTTAAAGCCAAAACTCCAGCTTGAAGTGCAAATTGAGAAGCCCATGAAGGCTATTTTCTCCACACCATTCAGTCTACCACCCCACAGGGCACCTAACTTTGTCCTGTGCCAATGAATCCTCACTTAATGTCATGGCAGGGATCTTGGGAACTGTAATTTTAAGCAAAATGATATATAAGGAAACCTTGGATAATTGTGTTCAATGTCCAGTTAAGATATTTTCCTTATCAATATTAGAGAAACATAATGTTGAAGGGACTTGCTGTACAAGGCACTGTAGGACTGAAGAGATGTACCAGGCATGGCCTCCCTGTCCTCCTTCTGTGCAAAACCCAAATTCAACTGAGTAAAATGTAAAGATCTCATTGCCTTTATTCAA